CTTACGGTGTGTGTGTTTACATATTAATACGATTTGAAAAGACAAGAAAAGATTAAAAGAAAAAGGAAAGCAATTAAACAGTACACAAATGATGGCGTCAACCTCTCCATGTCCCCCAGATAATGCTGCCCCCAATTCCTCTCTACAATAATCATCAACTGCTCATAGCTATACATTTTTTATACTCAACTAATTATTATATTTCAATTCGAGTTACGTTGAAAGTAAAAGTAATAAGTGAGTTTTTTAAACAATTAAAAAAGTGATGAAAATACTTTAAGGTAAGTTATATAAAATGTGGTTGTAGCATATCAATGTTATTCGATATCAGGATTATTTGTCGCACCCTGTCCAGTAAGGGAGCCAATGATAATTTGCAAATCAAGCTTTCTATCACTAATGTATTGAATTGCTATCTAATTCATACCAGAATTTGTTTTGCAATGTGTATATGATGCAAAGTGCACATATGATCTAATCCTGCCTCACCAAGTCACATGTAACTCTAAAAATTTACACGTTGTACAAGTCCTTTTTATTACCTCTCTTCGAAATATGCTCTACAATTACCATCACCGAGTCACTCTCAAATTCTACACATGCATGTATGCTCTAATCAAGCATAATGAAAAACTATGTGTTATATTATAATAATAATAATGCTATTATTATTATTAGTAATATATTAAACCAAGTAGTTAGCAGTTAATTTGTTAAAAAATAAAAGGAGGTGTGTGAACGTGGATGCATGCATAGCACTACGTGAAATGGAGTACATGGAATCATGGCCTCTAATTACTTCCTAAACTTTAGCATTGTTGCTTTTCTCTTTCACTATAAATATGTGGCTTTTGTTTATTCATAATCATCAAGTGAAGTAATAAACATTTACTTCTATTCCTCTCTCTCTTCTCAATATATAAATATAATATATAGATATATTATATTTAATATATATTATAGATATATTATATTATATTTAATATATATTATATTAAATATATTATATTTAATATATCTAACATTTGGTATTAGAGCCAGTCAACCTTTCAACCCCGTATCAGAGCCAGTCAACCTTTCAACCCCGAGATATTGTTCGTAGTGAAATATGGCTGCAAATTTCAATATTGTATGGACGGGTCCCAAATTGGACGGGAAACTCGATTACAATTATTGGCAAATTATGATGTCCACACATTTGCAAGCTCAAAATCTTTGGAGCTTTGTTGATCCCGGTCTACCCGGAGGAGCTGATGCAGGCGCTATACGGCGAGATAAATTGGCCTTGGGTCAGATTCAGCAAGGTGTTCATTATTCTATTTTTGGGCAATTAGCTCGTGCTCAAACAGCAAAACAAGCTTGGGACATCTTAAAGGTGTCACACAAAGGAGTCGATCGGGCACAGAAGTCTAAGTTGCAGTCGTTGAGAAGGTTGTACGATAATTGTGAGATGACCTCTACAGAAACAATAGATATGTATTTCACTCGTCTTATTGATATGGTGAATAAGATGAGGTTATATGGAGATACGATTGAAGATGGTGCAGTGGTTGAAAAAGTTCTTCGAACTATGCCGATGAAGTATGACCATGTGGTGCTTCGATCACAGAGTCACACAAAACCGAGCTCTTATCAATTGCAGAGCTGAAAGGTATGGTAGAAAGTCATATTGACAGGATTGCGTCAAAATCGGAACCACTAGCAGAAGAAGCTTTGAAGAGCCAAGTCACCCTTAATGTGACTGGCACTAATCAAAGAGGTGGAGGATCTGGTAGAGGTCGTGGAAGAGGAAGAGGAGGTTCTAGTGGAAGAGGTCGTGGTAACTTCAACCAAGGAGGAGGACGTGGTAACTCCAACCAAGGAAGAGGTGGAGGTAATACCAAACAAGGTAAATTTCCATTTCATTGCTACAATTGTGGCAAGTATGGGCACAAGATTGCAGATTGTTGGTATAATGAGGACAACAATCGTGGAAATCAAGCAAACATTGCTGAAAATACTGCTGAAAAGTCTGGTGAGAATTCTGAAACCTTACTTTTGGCCAGTGATAGTTTTTCTGCTGATAAGAACATATGGTTCTTGGATACTGGGTGTAGTAACCATATGTGTGGGAAGAAAGAATTGTTTTCCGAACTAGATGAATCAGTCCGGTCTGAAGTAACTTTTGGCAATAAGTCAAAGGTGCCAATTTTGGGAAAAGGTAAAATCTCTATTCAGTTGAAGGATGGTACTCACAATTTTATATCCGATGTGTTCTATGTTCCTGAACTACACCAAAATTTGTTGAGTTTGGGTCAGTTGTCAGAAAAAGGATATAAGATACATATTGCTCAAGGGTGTTGTACCATTGAAGATGCTAAAGGAGTTTTGATTGCAAAGGTAAATATGTCCCAAAATCGACTATTTCCTTTGAAAATTAAGCATATTCTCCTTGATTGCTTTAATTCTGAAGTTTGTGATGATAATTGGTTATGGCATATGCGGTTTGGGCATTTTCATTTCTCTGGATTAAACTATCTTGCGAGAAAGGAACTTGTTTCTGATTTACCTGTTGTGAATGTCCCTGATCGTATCTGTGAGATTTGTGTGATTGGGAAGAAGCATAGAGATCCCTTTCCCGTGGGCAAGTCAAGGAGAGCTACAAAACAGTTGGAGATTGTTCACTCAGACCTGTGTTCGTTGGAAGTTCCCTCACATGGAGGTTGTAAGTACTTTATTACTTTCAGTGATGATTTCAGTAGAAAAACATGGGTTTACTTTCTGAAGCATGTGATGTTTTCAAACAATTTAAGGTTTTTGTTGAAAAGCAGAGTGGTTATGAGATTAAAATCTTGAGAACTGATAGAGTTACAGAATATATTGCCTATGATGATTTTCTGAAAAAGAAGGGTATTCAACATCAGATGGCAGCTAGATACACTCCACAACAAAACGGAGTGGCTGAGAGGAAGAATAGGTCTATCATGGATATGGTAAGGTGCATGTTGAAATCCAAGGATCTGCCTAAACCTTTTTGGGCAGAAGCTGTTGCTTGTGCTATCTATGTGTTGAATAGGTGTCCAACTAAGAGTGTCCATGATAAGACGCCCGAAGAAGCTTGGAGTGGGAGAAAACCCTCTATCAAATATCTCAAGGTTTTTGGATGTTTGGCATATGCACATGTGCCAGATCCATTGAGAAAGAAGTTGGATGATAAAGGTGAGAAATGCATATTCATTGGTTATAGTGACGCTTCAAAGACTTATAAACTATACAATCCTGAAACTAAAAAGGTTGTTATAAGTCGTGATGTCACTTTTGATGAATATGGTGCCTGGGATTGGTTAGCTAAAGATGAAAGTTCAGTTGTTATTCCTGCTGTTGAAAATATTATTGAAGAGCAATCGATTCCAGATAATGTCCAGTCTCCTTCACAGCCAGAATCGTCAGTTCGACGATCTCAGCGCGAGCGCCACTTACCAGCTCGCTTGCAAGATTATGTTTTGGGTCAAGATAATGACCTGTCTGATGAAGAGATTATTCAATTTGCTCTGTTTGCATATTGTGATCCTTTAACTTTTGAAGAGGCTGCTACAGAAACTCATTGGCTTAAGGCGACGGATGAGGAGATACGTGCCATTGAAAAGAATGGTACCTGGGAGTTAACAGATTTACCTCCTGGGAAGAAGCCAATTGGAGTGAAGTGGGTTTACAGAACGAAATACAAGTCAGTATATCCAACTTGAAGACGAAGACATTTCTTAAATTGGAGAAGGAAATTGGGATGACCAATATATCCAACTTGGTTTAAAGGAGGCAATGTTATATTATAATAATAATAATGCTATTATTATTATTAGTAATATATTAAACCAAGTAGTTAGCAGTTAATTTGTTAAAAAATAAAAGGAGGTGTGTGAACGTGGATGCATGCATAGCACTACGTGAAATGGAGTACATGGAATCATGGCCTCTAATTACTTCCTAAACTTTAGCATTGTTGCTTTTCTCTTTCACTATAAATAAGTGGCTTTTGTTTATTCATAATCATCAAGTGAAGTAATAAACATTTACTTCTATTCCTCTCTCTCTTCTCAATATATAAATATAATATATAGATATATTATATTTAATATATATTATAGATATATTATATTATATTTAATATATATTATATTAAATATATTATATTTAATATATCTAACACTATGAAAGGTTATATTGCCCCTAGTTTCGCCACCCAAGTGATAGACATACCCGTTTGAATATGAAATATGCATATCCAAACACAGTGACAATCCCTTGTCACCTTATCAGTAGATGATTTGTTCGATTTTCCTCTAATACTATCACCCAGTATAAATTAGAAACTCAAAAGAATAATGGATGTTTCACACGATATAAGTTAGAAATTCAAAAGATTAACTCTAAAAACATCCACGTCCATGTCTTAGTTTGTTCCCTCCCTTCAAAATATGCTCAACAATCACCACCAGGTCAATGTTTTATACATCAGTATACTCTACTCAAACGTAATAACAAATTATGAAATATTGTCTCATAGTTTCGCCACCAAAGTCATAAACATACTCGTAAAATATGAAATTTAAATACCCAAACACTTTGACTATCCCGCGATATAAGTTAGAAACTCAAAATAATAACTCTAAAAATATTTACGTCCAAGTCCTTGTTCCGTCTCTTCAAAATATGCTCAACAATCATCACCAGATCAATGTTTCATACATCTGTACACTCTACTCAAATATAATACGGAATAACAAATTATGAAATATTGTCCCCTAATTTCACCATTCGTAAAATATGAAATTTAAATACCCAAACATCTTAACTATCCCCCGATATAAATTAGAAACTCAAAAGAATTACGGGTGTTGTTGGACATAAATATATAACTATGTTAGTTCCGAAGAAACATATATTGATTATAAAAATTGTTGTTTTCAGGTACGGATGGATATGGATTCATAGATATAGTACATGGGATGAGTAAATTGTGACAAAAACAGTGACAAAGAGACAATATCTGTTAAGGTTTGGAGTGGGGGCCGGCGTATGTATTTCAATGCCGCCAGCTGCTTCGTCTACTGCGTAGCCTTCTCAGCTCGCTCTTCTCTCTCTCTCTCTTTCTTTGAATTTCAATTTCTTGAAAATCTTTTACTTTTTGCGCCAATTTAGAATTTAGATACGCACAGACGGCCCGACCGACCGAGCGGCAAGCAAGGGAGAAAAACAACAGTGGAACAACGTAGGTAGGTGTCATTTCTCGTGATTTGCAACGCCTTCCCTTTTCTTTTCTTTTTTTTTTTCCTCAATATTTTTCCTCTCTTTCTTCATTCAATTTCACCCACTCTCTCCCGTGCTCTCTTTACGCTAATCACTCCATCGCCCTCTTCTTTCCCGGAGCGCATACGCACCCCTAAACCCTAGTTTTCCCTTTTCTCTCTTCTTTTCTCCAGGTAATTTCTTTATCTATCATCTTTTTTTATTATTATTATTTTTTGTTTGTTTGTAGTGTTTTAAGTAAAGATGTATGCTTGGATTATATGTGTTTGAAGGAATTGAAGCCCTGAACAGAAATGATCTTATGGTGGTTTATGTGATCATCCCTTTTAATTTTAATTTTTTTAAAAAAAATTATTTTGTAACAAGAAAGAATGGATTTTTGTGTGTGTGTGTGTGTGTGTGTGTGTGTTTTTTTTTTAGTTGTTGAGCTAGTGAACTCTTATGATTATCTTTGCTCAATTGGTTGGGTAAGGAGTTTAGTAGGTGGATCATGAATATTCTGATAGATCTGCTGTTAAAAGTTTTATTTAAAAAAAAAAAAATTGTTTGGTCCTGTTAGTGAAAGTTATTACCAGTGGGATAATAGCTTAATCCCACATGGAGAAATTTCTTGAAAAAGGAAATTAATACATAAAAAAGGAGAAAATGTGGAACAAAGGGAATGAAGAGATATGGCTATAGGGACTTGGATTGGTTTTGGGATACAATTCATGATTTTTGGATGCAAAACTCGAAATAATTTAGGTATTTATTGTCACAGAGATGAAGGGCGATTTTAACATCGGGTGGTGTTTACAGAGAATTAATCAATCATGCACACCTGATCTCGTTTAAAATTTGATTTCTATGTTTTATGGAATTTTTTTTTTTTTTTTTTTTTTTGAAAATGTTTTATGGAATTTACTTGTTTGTTAATGCAATAAAGCGAGTTTCTTGGCAAACTAATACTTTTTCTTGCAGAATTGGATGTTGCACGGTGATCACGATCGATGAAAGCTCGAGAGCTCCTTAATGTTTAATATGGTTGTGAACTCTTTGGAAGGGTTTGTGATTTCGCTTTTGATATCCGGGATTCTTCCGTTCCAAAATCCTTCTGCCGAGATGGGTTGAAGAAATGTTTCGGGGAATCTTCTAAGTTCGCTCAGATGCATCTAGGGACAATGGCCACGTTATCTGGTACTAGTGAAATTACGGAGTCCATAGAGGACTTAAGTTTGGCATCTGAAATAGATGAAATTTCGCGAAGGCAGCATCTGATGAAGATTGGGCAGAGGTATCTTATCGAGGAAGATATCAATAGGCTTTTCGAGGCTATAGAAATAAGGAATTCTCATAGGGGTTTAAGTTCCCCGGAACAGGGTGCTAAGAGTGCGATGAAGAGGCCGATGAGAACTTATTCTTCTCAACCATCGGGGATTGGGATTTCTGAGGCTGTAAGTTTGAAGCAAGCGTTTAGAGGATTATGCATTTCTCAGGCATCGGAGATGGCTGCTTTGAAAAAGCGGTTGTCGAGACCGTCCGGGTTTTCTGCGGTTCTTGAAGCGGGAGCTATCAAGAGAACGAACGGGGCCGGATTTGAACATCCCGTTGATAAGAATAAGGGGAAACTAGTGCAGATATCCCTTGTTCCCGATGGGAGCACGCCAAATTCTTCGGATAAGATGCCCGGATTTGAACATGTCCCGGGGGAAATTCCTTGTTCTCCTCTTTCTAGAGATGCAATTGCACGAGAGGCGGAATCGACTAAAACGCCTACTGAAATTGGTGCCGTTCCTCGTTCTCCTCCCGGTGGTTGTGAATCCTCAAAAATCACGTTGGAATGCTCCAAGAGACCTAAACTTCCCGAGCCTTCCGTTCCCTCTTCCGCAAATGTGATGCTCCCGGTTCTCGATGAGATAATACCCTCCACCGAAGCTACAAGTAGTGTAGTTCAATCAGATCGAGAGCAAGAAGGAGATTCGAATCATAAAGCGTTATCCATTCTTAATGCGGGAAGTAAGGTCATCGGACGGGCTTGCAGCAGTCCACGGTTGATCAAACCAACTTTCAGAAGCAAAACCTTTGCTAAGAAGAAACCCGAATCACCTTTGAAGAACGACCATAAAAACACGAGTATAAAATCCACACCGTCCCGAACTACCGCAAATACGGCAATGGAATCAAGTTCATCCTCTCTGGAGTCTAGTATTACTAAACCGGGTCTCGGCTCGAACGGTTCTAGTAAAACGAGAAATGTCATTACAAAACCCGATGAAAGATCGAGCTCGAGGGAAAAATGGGAGATATCTCAGAGCTCGAAAAGTAGCATTGGGGATTATAGCAGCACCACGAGCCTTAGTGATGAAAGCTATCTCGGTGGATCTAATCGCAGTGGCTATAGGCCTCACATGTCAAAAGATTTGAGATGGGAAGCCATTCGTTGTGTCGAGAGGCAGCACGGGAGTGTCGGGTTGAAACATTTTAAATTACTAAGAAAGCTCGGTGGCGGTGACATTGGAAGCGTTTACCTGTCCGAACTACTGGACACGAGCTGCTTATTTGCTCTGAAGATTATGGATAACGACTTTTTGGCCAGCAAGAGAAAGACGGCAAGGGCTCAAACCGAAAGAGAAATATTGCAAATGCTGGATCACCCGTTTCTCCCCACACTTTACGCCCATTTCACGACCGATAAATTCTCGTGCTTAGTGATGGAATATTGTCCGGGCGGTGATCTGCATGTTCTCCGTCAAAAGCAACCGAGCAAGAACTTCTCCGAACATGCAGTTAGGTATATATTTTATACCGCGTGTCAATTTACTTCTTCGACTTCAAATTCTTTTATCTATTTTTGAAATTTGATAAGCTTTTTTTTCGGGGAAACATGCAAGTGTATGCCGTTGTTTCTATGTGGATGAGGTGCTCCTTTAGTTGGATTGGAAAAAGAAAAAAGTGGACACAAGGGAAGACAAAAGTTTGTATTCCCCATGTTAAGAGTCCCGCATTGAAAAAATAAGAGAGAATATATGGGTTTATAAGGTCATGGGTTAGACAATTTATTTAATTGGATTCAGTCTTCTAGTGTGATTTGGCCTGTGCATTATATCCCAGTTGAGTGACCTTGACTCAACGAGACAAAGTATCGAACTATTGCTGTGATACTTCAAACATTTTACTTTTTTATTCAATAGAAATTGTGCAGACTGTTCACATTATTGGATTCCTGTTATGCTATTTACAGATTCTATGTTGCTGAAATTCTTCTTGCACTTGAGTACCTTCACATGCTTGGCGTTGTGTATCGAGACTTGAAACCGGAGAACATATTGGTTCGAGAAGATGGTCATATCATGCTTTCCGATTTCGATTTATCCCTGAGATGTGCTGTGAACCCGAAACTGCTCAAATCATCGTCACCCGTTGAGCAGCCTCCGACGAAGAAGATGACGAGTCCATGTTCGGACTCGAGCTGCATCGAGCCTTTCTGTCTTCATCCATCCTGGCAAGTATCGTGCTTCACCCCGAGGTTCCTATCTGCAGCCGCTAAAACCCGCAAGCTAAAAGCCGACATAGCTGCCCAAGTAACCCCCCTACCACAGCTCGTAGTCGAGCCAACCAGCGCCCGCTCCAATTCCTTCGTCGGGACCCACGAATACCTGGCTCCCGAGATCATAAAAGGAGAAGGTCATGGCAGCGCGGTAGACTGGTGGACTTTCGGGATATTCATGTACGAGCTCCTTTATGGGAGGACGCCTTTCAAAGGGACCACGAACGAGGATACTTTGGGCAACGTAGTATCGCAATGTCTCAAGTTCCCCGAGAGCCCGATGATCAGTTCTCACGCCAGAGACCTGATCAGACGATTGTTGCAGAAGGAACCCGAGAATAGGTTGGGATCTTCTAAAGGCGCAACCGAGATCAAGAACCATTCGTTCTTCGAGGGACTGAACTGGGCCTTGATAAGATGTGCAACCCCACCTGAAATGCCCAGAATCTTTGACTTGGGAAACCTAGTTGCTGACACAAACTCACACAAGAAGCAGGGGTGGAAGTGTCAGAAAGAAGGCACAAGTTGTGAGGAAAATATTGAGTTTGAGATGTTTTAACCATACTATGAGAGAGAGAGAGCATAGAATAGATTAGGTTTTTCCACTATTACCCCCATGATGTACATCTTTAATCCTTGTAATATAGCAAATAGTGTACATGCAAATGTTTCCTGTTTGTTGAAATGTGGTATGCATTCCAAATATCAGATTTCTCAATCTCTAATGAGTTCAGTATATCCATTCCATTGTAATAGTGATTTCTCTCTGTTGAAATGAATGTTCAAAGAGTTTGTAAAGTATATTCAATAATAGTAAGCCAAATCCTCTCCAGATTTACATTATAGCTGAAGAAGCCATTGATCAAAATACAAAATAAATAAGAATTAAGGAGAAATTGCACTTTTGGTCAATCAATGAGTAGCTCATATGCAATGTTATCCTTACTTATTTTCACGTTAGTCAATTTAGTCCTTCTGTTAATTGACGAAATTGACTAACGTGAGAATAATTGAGGGACTAATTCTGTCCAAATTGAAAAGTAAGGATAACATTGCATATGGACTACTAACTACTAAGGGCATCTCCATTTGTGTGTTTTAAGGGAATTTTGGTACACTAAAAGCTAAAGTTGGAGATTTTAGACAAATGGGAAGGGAAGTTTTTAATGGTTTTTTTCTCCTGCAAAGCATGGGGATTTTGCAGAGATTAAAATTAAAAAATATTAAAAAATCGCAGAAATGACGCTTCAAGCGCACTTCGCGGGCAAATTATGATGTGACCACGTGACCACCTTGCAAGGTGGACAGTTCTATATTCATAATTTCTATACTGTAGATCCATAATTTCTATACTGTAGATTCATAAAATTTATACTTTAGATTTCAATTGTTAAAACAAAAGAGATAATTTAAAATAAATAAATAAATTACCTAAGATTTTTTTTTTTTTTTATAACCATAACTAAGAAATATAGTTGTAAATATTGTTGGATATGTGCGAAAAATAAAACACATCGAAACTTTATAAAAATGTTTATAACAAAATATGAAACATAATTAATTTAATAAAATAATTTGAATAGAAAACACATTATAAATTACACATCTCACTATTAATATAAAAGAATGTTATATATATATATATATATATATATATATATATATATATATATATATATATATATATATATATATATATATGTGTGTGTGTGTGTGTGTGTGTGTGTGTGTGTGTGTGTGTGCGCATTAAATATTAAAAAAGTGAATGTGTTGAAGCCATAGGGGAAGGACTCAAACATATGTAAAACTATGTTAATGCAAAGATTTGAACCCAAAATCCTTCCTATTACTAAACATATGCTCTACCAACTAATCTAACTCCTTACTTGTTGACATTTACTAATTATTTTATACTAATACTAAAACCTATACTATATATGGGTGGGGTGGGGTGGGGGGGCAGCTGCCCCCTTGCCCCCCCTTTGGCTCCGTCCCAGGCTAGAATATAACATTTATGTGTTGATAACTAAATTTGAAAAGACCACTAAAGGTTGAAACTAAATCTGGTTTACGACAATGATTACATTTGGTAAGACCACAAAAATCCAAGCTAAAATGTGAACTGTTATAAATATGATTATTATGGACATTATTATATGTGAACTGTTATAAATATGATTATTATGAACATTATTATATATATGGTAGCAGTTGTAACTAGTATGATTACTACCTTTTATATGTATTCACTATTACCTTGTATATAGTGATACCTTTGTATAAGGACTAAGGATTCTGTATGATGAATGAGAAGTCCTGACCTTCCCTCTCTAGTCTCTGTGTCTTCCTTCTTCCCTTTACTTGTGTATTTGTTTTTCTTACAACACGTTATTTGTGGATAACAAACTTTAAAAAGTTAAGCCAAAATTGAGACTAAATTTGATTAACTCAAATAACTAATAATAATGTTCATGCTATAAGAATAGGTTTCTTGAAAACAGGCCTGCATTTTCAAGCACTATACTAACAAGAAGAGGATGACAGAACAAAAGCTATATATCTGTAAGAGTCAGCAGGAAATTCCCTTTCAGAATAAGTACACATAAAAGGGATTAGTTACACACCTAGCCGTCGCAAACATGAAATTTAATGGTAATAAGCGAGAAGCTGTGGTACAAGGAAAGAACCGCACGCATGAAAAACCCGTGTGGCTGCTTGAACTTTTGAGATACAACGAAGAAGACGGGATAATGGACTCATACTATGTAGCTCTGTTTCACCGCTCCTTTTCGTGAGCGTTTCCTCCTCGGATTAGCACTGAGTATGCTAGAAAATGCGCTAAGAAGCTCCGTGTCCTCTATGGTGATTAACATCTTTGCTGCTTCTGGATTGGCGACGAGGAGCTTTGCCACCAGATATCCTGCAATCGACCATGTTTGAAAGAGTCGTGCCTGCTTCCCGATGAATCCTCCCCGCTTGGTGTCATAATATTCTGGCCACTTGTCTCCAGCAATGCGCCTCTCGGCAACCTTAATCGCGTTTTCAGCAATCTCTGGTCTCTTCATTTTCACAGATGCCACGGCCAACTGAAAAAGGATGCATCATGTTAAAATTTTAGAAATGCATACAATAACGTCAAACTTGGATGCAGAATCTTCTATGTTTTGTTCAACCAATGAAACCTTAACAATTAACATAGAGAATGGAGAACCCTATAATCCTATATCATTGTGGTTTTCACATGTGCACAAATTGCACGATTTTTCCACGATACTCTATTTTCAATGTTCAACCACTACCCAAGGGTGTGCGATGTTCATTATCTTTCTTCTTGTTACGAAAGGAAAGAGAGAGAGAGTTTCTAATGTGCTGTCATATATCTCAAACTGTCATTTAGAAAAGAGAATACAAAGTCCTATAAATAGGTGCTAGAAGACTACGAATAGGAAACAAGTTTCCATATATCCTACCTACCTAAATCCCTAAAACTGCCTGATATAATAATATATAGAGATTCTATATATCAAATATATATTCCATAACACTTTTAAAATTTTATTTTTTTAATAACGAGGGAAACCCTAACCGGCAAAGAATCACAAGGAGGTAAGCCAGCCTAGGTTGCCCATAGCTGACCTGCTCAAACCAAGAAGGCCAATAGGCCGTTCCCGCTAGAAGTTGAACTTGTAACCTTGTGGTTGCCAAGTCAACAGTCTGACCAACTTGGTAGGGGTTGCCCCCTTTCACAAAGGAATTACAATAGTAGAAGTTCAATATAAGCCAATATTCTATCCACCAAGGAATTACAACAGCGGATTAGTGGTGGAGTTACAATGGCAACAAAAATTTGACAACACAAACTAACCTGCCAAAGTAAAGTTGGCCAAGAACCAGCATTGTGGTACGACCAAGGCCTGCATCAAGAAGCAAAGTAAAAGATAATAATCTCGGGATATTGCTACAAACTAATATAAAATAGAGCCATTAGAAATTTGAGAACAGCATGTCAGTGATTCTATGAAGGCATTACGTGTTCTTTGGATCGCCACCAGTAATTATACGCCATTCCTGACCCTCGAGAGCAGGATAACATATCTTGAGGGGCATATTAGCCACTAAATCTTCCCATTTGGCTTCGATAAGATCTAATATAGCATGAGACTGATCTGTTGTAGCAAGGCTGCTTACAATGGACCATAAATTTCCAAGAGAAAAGAAACGGAAGTCCATATGAGCTGGCTGCAGGTTCCCAATTAAATAACCCCCTTTACTAGGCATCCAATCCACCAGCCAGGGAGGAATCTGATCTGGATATATGTTGAACTTGTTGATTGCTTCATACGAGTACTCCTCTGTCTTATAACGATAGATTTCATTTAGTTTTTTCACATCAATCCAGTAATATTCTCGGATATGAAATGACAATGCTAGCAGGCGACTATTAAGTGCTGTGATAAGATCAATTGAAGCTTCTTCAGGAGCTAGCATTTCCCTTGCACAAAGTAGGGCTGAATAGAATAATGCCTGCCAAAATGTACCACATCTAGCATATTCAGGAAGAGTTACTAGTGTTGAGCATATAATATATAAACATAAATGTGCAATCCAACTATAAGGTTAGGCTTTTAGTTGAGATTGAGCACATGCTTCAATTTGGTATCAGAGCCAACCCCATGTCAAAGGTCATGGGTTCGAATCTCCGCGTCACCCGATAAAAAGAGACTATGGTCCATGAGGGGACGTGTTGAGCATATAATATATAAACATAAATGTGCAATCCAACTATAAGCTTAGGCTTTTAGTCGAGATGGAACACATGCTTCAATTACTAGCATAACAGATATGAAGGAAAAGGAATTGGAAAAGAACCTGAATTTCCAGTGGGTGGCCATGAATTCCCATGCGTCGATCTATCATGCACGAACCATCAGTTACCAATAAAGTCGGGAACATATCAAAACCATCTGCAAGGCAGAGCTTCAATATCATCTTCATTCCAGTTTGAACATCGATCCTCTCCAGAAGAGAAAGGTCTCCAGAACATTTTCCATATGCTCGCAGCAATATAATCCACCATAATCCTGAATGACAGGATATCTGAGATATCCAAAAGTTCGGGCAAATGACAATTATGCAGATCATTTTGTAGAGCCAAACATACCAGAATCAACGGGTGCAACTCGACCAATTGCTGCTTCACCAAAGTCAGGGTCCAACACATCTTCAGTCGCATTCTCATCATTTTCGAGTGGAACAGTACGCACTTTGAAGCTGGCAGGCATCAGTCCTTGTCCAGGACTATAGCAATCCATAGTTTTCTCCCAACTCTGTTTGGATGGAAAAGTGTTTACGCACAGGCTAATAAATTAACAAATTTAATGTAGCAATGAAGCTTGTACAATAAATGATTACTTTCTCCTAGTTCAAAGGAGACTTGGCACTTGTTTGGCCCAACTTATTTTGGAGCTTATCTACTCCAAAAGTAGAAGTTAGGCAACAAAAAATATGGTAAGGCTTTGAAGGAGTTTCCGCTCATATAAGAAGCTACAAATTGAGGCTCTTAAAGTAAGCCTCTTTTCCCAACAGCCAAAAGAACAGTTTTGAAATTCCTGTTACTTTATTTACTTGTAAGGTGTTATTTTTCTAGTACTGGAATTTAATAAACCTCAATTCTAAATATTCAAGATTTAGGGAATAGGGCATAGCCATCCATGCTTGCAGCTAGAAAACACTAACATGGCGTTTGGTTGGAAGGAGGGAATTAGGGGGGGGGGGGGGGGGGGGTGGGGGGGGAAGGAATTGTAATTCCGTGGGAAAAGAATAAAGTATGAATTTAAATTACATTGTTTGGTAGGAATGAATAGAATGATTGGGGATTGAAAGGGAAGAAGTGAATAAAGACTAAAATATCCTTGTATAATAATAATAATAATAATATAATAATCATACGAAGGATAAAATGGTAATTCAACATGGAATTACAATTCCACAAAGTGTGGAATTGCAATTCCCAGGGTCCCTCTAGGAATTGCAATTCCATGGTTGGAAGGAATTGTAATTCCGTGGATTGCAATTCCATCATACCAAAAGGGGGTGTTTGATTCAATGGATATTTTAAGGTAATGTAACATTCCTAGGAATCTCACAAACCTAAAAATGCGAAGGGAATGTGATTCCCATAAATACTACCAAAAATGAACTAAAAACAAATTTGGGGAATCTCACATTCCCTTGAACCAAACAAGGTAATATGATATTACAATATTCACATTCCTAAGGTTATATGAGATAACTTCAACCAAACGCCTCCTAAAGGTAGGATCCAGTTCACAAATTTAAGCAGCAAACCACACTTACTTTTGGCAAGAACTCAAAAAGGTTAATCTACTTCCATCTCCAAAAAAATGTATAGAATTAAACTAAGTAAATCTCCATACAACAAGCGATTAAGGTTTTTGTCCTTAATAACAAATGATCACCCTTAGACAAATAAGTAAAGAAAGCTCTTTTACCTGTAATTGAAGAGTATGAAGGAGGAAGTTCCGTACAATATCATACTCTCCTTTCAACAAGAAAGCAATCCCAGAGGGTATGAAGTCACGGATAAATACTTGATCATAGTTGAGAATGCTAGAGTCATTAGGATCATTAGCAGCAATTGTTCCGATAGGATTGCCACAATAATATACCATGGACGCTCGCAACAAGTCCCATGCTTCTTCCTCAATAGAGTTTGGCAATGCATTGTTAACTGTGGCAGAAGTTTGACCATTAGGAGCAATACTATGCACCGATCTTCCTTGCTCATCCTCAAAAATTCTCTCATTACCCCTTTCAGCTGGCCGGCAATAGCATCGTAACAATTTTGGTTTCTCCAAACCATAAAAATCACGAACTGCACAAAGCTTGGAGGAACTTGTAATCTTTCCCAAATCCTTAGAGCATTTAACTCTGAAACTCTTTCCCTTAAAATGATCTTTAAGTAAAAGCAATGAATTTGAAGAACATCTACGGATAAAACGGCATGACAGCTCCCCTGGGAGGACTTGCAGAGCTGGAACCCCCATTGATGCTAAGAATCTGAAAACGTGGACCCCTTTAGCTCTATTTGCATCATAACAACCTCTTGATCTAATTACCCTACTTACACTAGTCCACATACCAGAACCAACAAACAGATTTCTTCCCTCAAAACATTCTACAAAAAAGAATGAAGTAAAGACCAACTATGCAAAGAAGTCAGCTTTTCACCAAAAACAAATAAACCAAAACTATTCAATTTAATAGATGATTAGATGGAGTAAAATTGAGGATTAAATAAACATGAAAGACCAAAATTTCGAACATTTTATATTGAAATGGATGCAAGAGAGGACAGTAGCAATCGGTGGACGATATCGAGAGACAATTTATCAGGTTGCCCCAAATTGGAGCACGTATGGTCGTATTAACCCAAAAAAAAAAAAAAAAAAAACTTGAAAAACGAATTGAAGTAGAAGTTGAGTTGAGTTTATGTGAAGAAATGGATGTTGCTTTAATGCTTACCGAATTGAGAAGTATGAAATATGCCAATGAGGGCTCAAAACTCATACGGGTTGGTTCATGGTTGGTTGCATTTGCATATGTGGATTGGAAGCATTGTTGTATATCAGAGTGACGTGACGTGACGTCGTTAAAGGAATCCATCCGTATTTGCAAAACCCTAAAAATTAATTGGGGATTAGGAAACATTTTTCGGGTATTTTTATTTCCCTACCTTGAGCATTTGTAATAGAAAATTTTGAAGGGTTTTTGCAGGTTGTAATACTTATGTTGAAGAAAGAGGGAGAAGAAAGAAGGTAATAAGTTGTTGCAGAATTTGGAGGATAACTTAATTTTTAGAAGAAAAGTGAACTCCACTTAAAAAAAATATCAAATTTTTGTGATACACATAAAGCACGGAACTATGGAAGCGTCCAATTGGGCGCATGCACTTCACTGATTTTACTCTCAAAAACAAATTTTGCAATTGGTGTTTCTTTTTTAAAAATGATATATGTACTCTAATTGAGTATAACTACAAATTTTATTGAAAAATAAAAATGGATAAATAAATACAGTAGTCTACTATTTCTCAAAAAAAAAAAAAACGTAGTCTACTATTTCTCAAAAAAAAAAAGTAGTCCACTATTTCTCAAAAAAAAAAAAGTAGTCTACTTTGTTATTTAAATCAGTCAAAGGATATACATCAACATAGAGTAAAAATAAAGTAAAAAGTGAGAGTACATATAATATTACTCTTCCTTTTTTTAAGATAGCAATGTTGTCTGATGATCCGTAATACAGAAACTTTGAGAGAAGATTTCCTTCTCCCACTTTTTTATTTAGTCTTACTATGTTAATTACAAATATACTTTTTACATATACATTTAAACATTCATCTCTAAAATTTCTCATTGTCATATCAATATATTTATAATTCATTATTATTATTATTATTATTATTATTATTATTATTATTATTGCATCTTACAATTTCAAAATAAATATTAAAAAATATAATAATACTGTTCAAATTTGTTAATTAAAAAGAAAAGAACTCCAATTTATTTTTTAATATTCATTTTATCCTCTTTTTTTCTTTTTTTTTTTTTCATTTTGTTCTTGCCAATTACCTTGGAGGAGATTGACAACTTTAGTTAGGTAGGGACGATGGCGTTGAATGCTCTTCTCACGATTTTTTTAAGGTTTGTGACGGGTATATAATTATGTTATCGACCAGCCTGCATAGGCATTGATCGAGTCTCACTAACGGCTTAAATGCTTAGGCGGATCGAGGTGTGAAACCCTTGGAGTTGGGGAGTTGGGGTACATTATTTGATAATATAATATCAAATCATATACCTTTAAAACAAATAATGTAAGGAAAATTGTAATTTATGTTCCTTACAAATATACCAATTATTCATGTCACTCCAGAATTATTAATAGTGTAAATATTACCTCTTAATTTTTAAAACATGATATACATTGCCCCTCCTCTAAATTATTAGTAGTGTAAATGTGATTATCCGCCGTTTTTCATATTCAAAGGCCACGTTTTTTTCCTACACTTTTCTTTCTTCATTTGTTCTCCTCAAGCTGACAACAATATTTCTCCTTCTTGTTACGTGAAGATCAACATTTACACCACTAATAATTCAAGAATAACATTGATAATTGTTATATTTGTGAAGAACATAAATTGCAATTTTCTCAATTTAAAAAATGAACCTTTAATGCATTAAAAATATACTTTATGACAATAGTCCACCTTTATATGATCCATGGTATAATGATTGATATATTTTGTAGTATGCTAAATTTGTTACTGTCACTCTTTGTTTTTAAAAATAGTTTCAGAAGTTCAAAAGACACTTCCCTTTGCAATTTTACTCACCATTGGTTAAAACAAAAACAACCCCGATATTGATAATCAAAAGAGTCCACCCAAATTTTATACCCAAAAAGGACACAAAAACAACATTAGAATGGTTATAATTCCCTCTTTCTGAGGCAAAACAATATAGATTTACATTTACCTAATCAAGTCTGAACCTAGTAATCCCTCCAAGGAGGTAGGTAATAGCTCATCATGCATCATCCATGGAGTGATCATTGTCATTGTCACCTTCATAATATTCATCATCTCGCTGGATTTGTTTGTCTTGTGTATGCTCTGAGAAACAAGAAAAAAATACATAAAATTCTGTGTAAATATCAATTCTTTCAGTTTCACTAACTTCAGTCAATTTGTGTGCATGTGTGGCAGCTGAAAGTCAAGTAGTTTGAAGTTTTCACTTACGATCCAAACGCTCATCAGGATTTTGCGTATCTTCATCAAAATCGGGAATATAGAAGTCAGGAGGCACCTACAAAACAGGAAAAGCAAAAGAATAAGAGAGAAGTTTTTGCCATTATTTGTTTATATATCTAACAAAGAATGCCAAGTTTCCTTGATTAGAGCAGCATAGGATGGGGATATAAACCAAAAAAAAAAAAAAAAAAAAAAAAAAAAAAAAAAAAAAAAAAAAAAGACCATAACATATTTATGGCAAGTAATTTTAGAGCCAAAAACAAAACTTACCTCTTGCATCTGCACACTAGGAGCATGCTGGATGTATCGAAGATTTTCTAATACATGTGATTTTATGGTGCCAAGGTATGACTTGCTATTCAAGTTCTCCTGCTCAAAAAAGGTAAATAAAAAAGTTATAAAGAACAAGCTAGGTATCAACTATCAAGGTAGTTTTCATGTAATTTATGGAATAAAAGAGATTTTGTTCTAGAAGTGGACTGCGTAAAATTAGGATATGAAAATTCAACATACAATGTGCCCACCAGGAATCTTCAGTGAATAATCGGGGCCAAAATATTTGATGTAGTCATTATCAGGTATCTCTGGAGAAAAAAAAAAACAACTATTAATGCATAGATTTTGGGTCAAGTACTATCAAAGTATACTCCATTCTTGAATACCATGGACAGACTGATCAGTACAAAGTCGAAATTTGTAATGCAATGTATTTTCCACTTTGAGTGGAAATGGGGCTAATTAACACTCAAACTGCTGACAATTTCAATCGGAAATGCTCAAAATTGGCATGGCACAGATGTCATTTTTTTCACTTCGTATGGGTGGAAGATATGTGAATTTGAGAACAGAAACAAGTTGTTCCCAGAACCTGAATGAGGGTGTTACAACAGATCCCAGGCAATTTAAAAAATTATAATACGGAGTAATTAAAAAAAGGAAGGAAGAAGAAAAACCACACAACACAATTACAGAGTACAAGCAAACATACCATTAGGAAGCTCTGAGTCTAGAAGAACCCCAGTTTCATAAGCCCAACATCTAGCAACATTTTCTTTTGTATACCCCCCTCCTCCAGTTACCTGCAAAAGGCTACCTCATTTTAATCAATCATAAAGTACTAGTGTACTACATTAAGCACAATCTGCTTGAGAAAGAACCTACCAGCAGGGGAATATTAAATTTCTTCACAAACCGAACACATTCAGCATGCCCTGCAAGAAGCATCATATAAAACACACGCAAGTAAAAATCACCAAGATAGTTGCAACTAAGGTTACTTGGGAAAAGATATACAACTAAGCTGTGCTTGCAAAAGGTAGAATGATGGCCAAAAAGAACTTTAATTACAAGTAGACTAGCACCATCAATGGAGAGGTTAAAGCAGCCCAAACGATCACCAGCTAGTGAATCTGCCCCACATTGGAGAACTATTGCTCCTGGTATATATGTTTCAACCACCTTTGAAATAATCTACAAATACCATGCCCAAAGCCAAGATCTTACAATGAAACAACTACAATCAAAAACAAAATTGAAGATATTTGTGTTTCTAGAAACAATCTTACTGTTCGGAAGAGACGAATGAAACTGGAATCATCTATTCCATCCTTGAATGGCACATTTATGGCATAAAATTTCCCATCTCTTTCTCCTATATCCTTCAAAATAAATCATCACTTTAATACACCTTATAAAGACATTTAATATATTCATTTTATTTAAAATAAAAAATAAAAAAATTATCGTCATTCTAAGTGGAGAGAAATATTAAACTAAAAACAGCAAAAAATGCCACATTTATGGTGAGGGTTGGGGTAGTTGAGCTTAAGTAGCAAAGTGTCAGCACTCAATCAGGAAAGTTATACCAGAAGAAGCAAAAGTGCATAACATAGCATTTTCAAATAATAATTCTCTTTTTTTTTTTTTGTTTGGTTTATCATCACCACTAATAATGAAACAATAATCGACTGAGAAGTAGGCAATCAATTAAGCCTAACATAAATATTTTATCTCAACACAATTAAGCCTATACAATGCAGTCAGGGAAAGTAGATGAAGCAAGCTCCTAAAATGCAATAGCACCCTGGAAATTACTCCACACAATGTGAAATTTTGCGAAGAAAAATAAGAATGCAATAATAAAGTGTACCTTCATATCCCCTGTTCCTGGAAAGAACTTATCTCCATACTTGTGGAAACTGACCGTCATTACCCTAAAATGTTTAAATTTAATCATCAATTCATACCCCAGCATATCACAATGTATAGAACGTGATTTCTGCATACATCTGATTTCAGTTAAAATCACTTTTCTGAAGCAAAAGATCAAATTTCTTATATACAAGTTCATTCACACAATTTCCCAATGTGTTATACAATTTTTTTTTTCCTGATGATCTCTTGATAAGAACCCAATAGCAAAATGTACTTACTGGCGACAGAGGTCTACTAAAGCAGATATCAAAAGTATTAGACGTCAATGTGATAGCATAAAGATGAGCAGATGAATCAGAACAGTGGAAAATAACTTCTCTAAGGTGAAAAATAAGTACAAAAGCATGATCAACTATATTCATGGTATTTTCGACTACCCACTCATAGAAAGAAATTGGATCAATAATGTGAAGAGATATATGAATTGTAATAAGAAAGTTAAGGCTTTTACTGACATGAAAATTTATTAAAAGTTTGTGCCAAGGATAGAGAACAACTTCTTTGTCACTATGGGCTATGGCCCAAATGTATTGAAGCGCCAGTCAGTCACAATCACTTCCATTCAATTTCTAAATACCTATAGCATTTGCTAGCTACAAAGTGAACTTGATTGAGCATTAAATGGGTTTAAAATCTATGGCCCTGTTTGAATTTGACATTGAACAACAGTTATGGATTATGTAACACTACAAATACATACCGGTCTAAGAAAAACTAAGAGATAAGTGAAGAGAGTAAAGGTACCTATCTGTAAAATAAAAGGCCTCTTCCACACCATCTCCATGATGTACATCAATATCAATATACAAAACTCGGGGATGATATTTGAGAAGCTCCAAAATTCCCAGAACTAGATCATTGATATAACAAAATCCTGAAGCCTCACACTTTTTGGCGTGGTGCAAACCACCAGCCCAATTTATGGCGACATCACAGAGTTGATTGTTTAATCTACGCGCAGCATCTGCCAATTAATACTGGTCAGGTGTCAACATAGGCACAGGGCTTGATTTGTATTACAATTATCAGGGATGAATTTACCTATTGTTCCACCAGCATAAATTTGACAAAACTCAAACAGGTTATCAAATACAGGGCAATCTTCTCCAAGATTATCTGGTAAGAAAACAGCATTTATTTTGAACATCATGTTGCTGGAAGTGCAAAAATAGCCCAATAGATACGTGACTGGAAACATAAGACCATATGATACTAAAATTGTTGCATGACTAATAAATCTCTGTTTTGTAAGCAACTCATGACAACCCCCAGCCACCCCACTACCCTACTTAAACCAAAATAGCTATATTCCACATGTGAGAAGGTCTTTAGCTAGCTATTACACAAGTGTATCTAAACAAAACCAGAAAACGTACACCATATATGTTTATGAGCAAGATAACAACAACAACAACAACAACAACAACAATAATAATAAAATTAGGGGCAACCCAAGCCAAGTTAGTTAGGCCACAACAACAACAACCCAAACCAAGTTAGTTAGGTCGTTGACTTAGTAACCACAAGGGCCTATTGCCCTTCTTGGTTTGAGCCAGTCATCATCAATGGACAACCTAGGCTAGTTTACCTCCTTGTGGTCCTTTGCCAGCTATGGTCACAAACTCGCTACAAGTTTCCCTAGTCACTCAACAAGAACAATAACCCAAGCCAAGTTAGTTAGACCGTTGACTTGGTAACTAGGCCTATTGTCTTTCTTGGTTTGAGCCAGTCAGAATCAATGGACAACCTAGGCTAGTTTACTGGTCCTTTGCCAGCTAGGGTCACAAACTCGATACAGGTTTCCCTCGTCACTCAACAACAACAATAACCCAAACCAAGTTAGTTAGATCGTTGACTTGGAAACTGGGCATATTGTCCTTCTTGGTTTGAGCCAGTCAGAATCAATGGACAACCTAGGCTAGTTTACTGGTCCTTTGCCAGCTAGGGTCATAAACTCGCTACAGGTTTCCCTCGTCACTCAAAAACAACAACAACAACAACAACAACAACAACAACAACAACAATAATAATAATAATAATAATAATAATAATAATAATAAAATTACATCTTTTGAGGTCAATCCCAAATAAATGTTGAGTGTCAGGCGTTATCCGGTGCAGAAACTCAACGTAATCAGCTGAATGGAACTGCGCCAGCTCCATTGGATATGCCTTATGAGGCCTCTACTCCAAGCAAGCATTACAAAAGATACATGTATGAATAAATAGACCGAAATTTAACTAGCGAAACAACATACTCGCTAATATATTAAAAAATAAATAAATAAAAAAATACATACATAAATTTCCATCTTGTTGTGGAGACCGTAAGCTAGAACCAGATGATGAGTCATACACAGCCGGTGCGGTTTCATCGGATGGTTTGGCCCAAAGTAGACATTCCCAACGTCCCCTGTGGCTCGCCGAGTCCAAAATTAGTACAATCACAGACATAAATACATATATACTACACACGCCTATTTTTTAACTAGGGTTTTGAGAATTAGAGATTCAAGCGAGAAATGAAAGGTCGAGAAATTGAAGATGCGAGATATGGAGAAACAAGGGGGACTCACCATCGTAGAAGTAGGAGATTCTGTCCTTGGAGCGCATTTTAGCGAAGAGCCTAAATGGAGGGAAAATCAGTGGGAGGGAGAGAGAGAGAGAGGGCGTACTGACTCAACGAGTTTTAGCCATGTATGAAATTCTGAATTCTACATGTGCCTGCTAGACGTCGTCGTTTTATGGTCTATGGTTAATGCTCATTCTCATTCTTGGATTTCCTATAAGGCTACGTGTAGAAATTCTCACTTCATCATTGCATTGTGGCTTTAAACACAACTTTCTTGTCACAAAAGTCTCAAAAAAAAAAAAAAATTGTCAAACACCTTGTGATCAGATGATACGAAAGGTCACATGACCAAACACTGATGTTGACTCTTTGGACTGCACTAATTAGAGGAAATATAGAACAGATACTATATTGTATCAGATGGTATGAAAGGTCACATGATCAAATTCTGATATTGACTCTTTGGACTGCAGTAATTAGAGAAAGTATAGAACAGATACTACATTATAATAGAAGATTATGTGCATAGCATCTATACACTTTGCAGATGCACTTTGCATCTTGCCTCTTGCTCCTCTCCACACTATCTTTCTGTTCAGGTGGAGGAGATTTCTATAACAAAAATTATTTTTGCATGCAACGTTCAAAATTAGTTTTTTTTTTTTTTTTACTTTTTAATTGTAATTATATGTTGATAGTTTTATATTGTAGTTATCAATTCCCTTACACTCTCCATATACTCATCTTCAAAAAATCCCTAAATAGAGAAAAACATTTCCAACTTACTCAATTTGGATTTTTCACATAAGCATTCTGCAGGAATTTAAATAAGAGCAAAATCGTTAGAAAGTTTAGAATAGGAATTTGTAATGATGCATTAAAATGTAAGTTGCAGAAGCTGAACTACAGCATCTAATTAAAGGCTTTCCAGTTTCAAACTACTCCGTATAAGCAAAAAAAAAAAAAAAAAAAAAAAAAAAAAACCCAAAATAGAAATCTAAATCTCTTAGCCGACTACGTGTTCCTGTTCCATGAACCACTCTTCTTCTTCTTCTTCTTCAAGGTGCCACAGAAATACTCTGGATCTCCTTCTTGCTCTTCAACTTACTTCGTCTCTTGCTCTCGAAATCAAGTTTATCTAGGTCCTCCACAATTCCCAGGTAACCATACAGAATCTCCTCCATCTTGTCTGCCGAGGGGACTTGTTCGTGACTAACAACCGAGCTCCCGGTGCTATCATAACTAACTTGCCCGAACTCGGCCCTCCCATGTTTTGTCTCTGCATACAAGTTACCGAGTCTCTCTGCCTCCTGCAAACCAGAAAGAGTGGCAGCAAACTTGACCACCAGAACGCTCTGATTTCCTGGTTTCCCACGACACACCTTGCCTCCAAAACCCATATCTGAAATAGAAGCAGTTAATGATACAAGGTAAAACAAGTAAAAGAACCCAACCGAGACTCATTGCCAATGTTAAAGAAAACAAAGACAAGTTAAGTTAGTTAACACACATCCAATATGGCCATTGAACCAGCATGCACATAGTAATCCCTAGCTGACTAATTCCAAAGTAAATTATCTTGATCCTAAATAAGCAAATTTGCAGTTTAGTGGAGTTGACAGCACAAACCATTTCGCACCAAGGACATTTAGCATAATCAGAAGTAATATACTGAATCACACCGTGAGACAAACACTTCAAAAGGAATAATCCTTCAGGTCTGTCTGTCTCACATATAGAAAACAAAGCGCTTGAAGAAAAATATAACAGACCTCTGAGCTTAGCTTCCAGCTCTTCTACGGATACAACAAGACGTTCGTCTGGATTGCTGTTGGCTATGGTAATGTTATGAATGACAACAACAGGAGGCCAGATGATAAGGTCTTCCTTAAGAGCCAAGGTTTCATCTTCAGGCAGTACTTCGCAAACCCATGCAGAGTTGGGAGCCTCTGCACTCTTCCAACCCATCAACAAACACAGTGCTTTGTGAAAACCAAAATGCTGTGATCGGACACCAGCCTTTGAAGATGTTAATGCATGGATCACCAAACTTTCGACATCTCCAAATTCTTCAGAATCTCTGAAAAGCATTAAAGCAGAGGAAAATGAATATAACTTAAACTTTAAGGAACACCATAAAGAAATAAGTGTTAATACAAAGAAAGGATAAGCTTGTTGGTTAATACAGGACAATTAGTATGGGTTAATAGCTGAAACATGCAATGGCAAGAAATGTCATAACCTCCTATACCCCAGAGCCAATCACTTAAACAGAATACAATTATTTTAAAGTGAAAATGGAATATCACTTCTGGAAATCATATGGTCTATCTTAAAGTGCAAACCCATGATATTTTGGCTTCCCTTTTTCCATTTTTCACTACAAATATTAATGCAGATTTGCTGTTCCACCCTCAAGGGAAAACCTAAACCAAATCAGAGTTTGCCATCAAAGCAACTACGAAAGAGGAAAACTATTTTCTACTTTCTAGCAGTAGTCCTCTTCACCATTCTTCCAGTCAAAGTCATGCTCAAGCAATGTAAATAGGGTTCATCTAAAGGCAGACAACTCTTTTTACACCAAAGCAGTCAAATAGTCCCAAAGCTACCATAAAGATGAAAGCATATTGGTACATTCTCATAGAAACATGGATGATAAGTCACCAATCAGAAATTAGATTTCCTTTTTTCTTCTTATGCAGACAAACTTCTCCAAGCACACAGACAAAACAATTTCAATTATCAGATTGATCTCCCTTTTTCTCCACCACTGATAAAACCATTTCCACTGGTCCACTAGTCACCCTTGACTAAGCCAGAAAAGAGCAGTAAAAATCCATGTGGTGCAGTCAGAAGCTACATAGTTCGACCCAAAAAAAAAAAACTAACCAGATGACGATTACCATTAACATGATGAGACAAATCATGGAATACTTAATTTACCAGATCACAAAGTTAATTAACAAGTTGAATAAAAATAGAGGGTAATTGCTCCATCTATGAAAGCACTTCATGGTGTAAAAGAAAGACCTGCCACATATATTGCACTTTAAACAACTAGATGTTCCCTGATTCCTGTATTTTGTTCTTCTAGCTGGCGTCTCATTTAAGTGTTTGGCAAACTTGAAGAAAGCATTGTCAACCAATTGCTTAAAATCCTCTAAATTCTCTAGCGGTTCGCTCTTCTGCTGGGTAACACTACTTTCCAAATGATCATCCCTTTGATCAGGTAAACTTTCATCTAAATCATTAAGATCTTTAGACACCTTGTAGGAAGTGAGGTTTTTCAGCCATGGAAGAGTAGAATGACTCTTTCGAGGGGGAGGCCCTAGACGATGTTTCAATGAAGAATGCGTAGCATCAACACCTTTAGGATGTGGTCCCAACCGCTTCTTGATATCTCTAGTTCCATATTTACTAGTTTCGCTCAACCGACTTGCCATGGTTGTAGAAAGATTCCTATGACGCCCATGCTGAGTGGATATAGTAGACGTCCTTCTGTTCTTCCAATATTTGGAGCGATTAACCTTCAACTTTTTTGAAATAGTTACAGAATCTTTATCTCCCTCCAAATAAATATCAGCATTATCTCCTTGTCTATGAGCATTCCTTCCATTACTTGAAGAGGTAATTCCAAGATCACCACAAATGCTCAGTTTCCTATCTTTACCATGTTTCCTCTTGAGCCTACTGGTAGATGATTTAGGTAATATCTGGTTCTTTTCAATCAATCTTTGCTGAAGACTATCATTCATTTCATCTAAATGAGGATTATTATCTCTGTATAGTACGTCAGATCTTTCCTGAAAAGTGCATGGATGTTCATCCATCTCATTATTATGAAGCATGCAAGGACTTCTATGGCCCTTATATAGTACCCTCTCATAGTCAGGGTTATTAGCTTCATATTCCAAAATTTTCATTTCTTGCTCTCTTTTCTCCAGTGCACCACTTGCCCCAAAGTAACCCAATGTTGACTGCCCTTGTTTAGAAGGAATATAATCCCATCGCTTGCTCCCTATCATGTTCTCCTGGTGAGATAATTCATCATATTTAATAGGATCCATAAAACTTGCTCCTGAAGCATCCTGATGGTTGTACTCTTCACTAACACCCACATTCTTCCTATAAAATTCACTAGGTACAGTTTTGGTGCCATGAATGTCTGAATACATGCGACTGCCATGCCTTTCTTCAGTCTGGGCAAAGTATGACTGCAGATAAATCCCATTATCATCTACTTGCCCTTTAGGGGACCTGATACCCGAATTCTGACCACATCCCATAGGTTCACACAACCTTCCATCTGAAGGAATATGGATGTTTTCTCCAAATGAACTATCAATGCCATTTCTCACTGTAGTGGGTGACCTGTTGGTAAATGCGTTTAGGTGAGATGATGATGCCATGTAACTGGAATCATACTTTGAATGATGTAATGAATTCAGGGTGCTGGTCTCCAAATATGGATCTCTCAACCCTTGTCTCTCTGTTGGCAATTCATCTAAATTTAATGTGCCTTGCAAAGGATTCTGTTCTGCTCTATGAAGCTTCATACGGAAATTATGTGATCCCAATGCATAGCTACCAGCATCACCAAAGCCAGAACTTCTTGCTGGAACACCAATATCCGAAGGTTGTGGTTCATATGATGAACGAATCCTTCTATCAACTTCCAAAGGGACAGATCTACCGTCAGCTAGACCCAAGTATGGCCTCCCCTCATTACCTAGCTCACTACTCACTCTGGCACCACTAAACCCATGATCACCGGGGTCATCCAAAACATCAGATTTTCGGGGATCATCTAGATTACTGAACTGATATTTCAATGAAGTTGAGTCTCCTACATGTGTTGCCCCCGAGCCATCTCTAAATTCATATTTTCGTCTAGAATTTGGAGGCCCATCATGCCGCCCTCCATTTTGACCATCAGTTCCGTACGGTCTCAAACTTTGAGATTGCCCATACCATCTCTCTACTCCACCATAATTTGAAGAATCCACACCCTTCGGTTCACCAAAGTCCGGTCCACCATATATCTTTTCCATCCCCCTCCTTGACCTTTCAAGTTCATGGAAATACTCCCCGCGCCGCCCATCTGCTTCATTCACATTCCTATTGGGCACAAACTCACG